CACCCACACCCCACCCACACCCACACCCACACCCTGTGAAACGCGTTTCCTTTTCAAACGCATTTTGCATCGGTTTTGTTTGAAATGATGCAAAATATATCCGTTTTGCATACAGAATCTTGCAGGAATTTATCTGTACAAAACGTACGAGTTAAGCAAAGTTAATTCTGGCACTATTTTAGAAATTATACTAAATGGGATTTGAAGATATTGTTTCTTGCACTGTTTCTCAACATGAAAATCATGACCGAAACTTTCCAAACGCAAAATTAAAATCGAATTCTTCTAAATGTTTAGGCTGCTAGACTGTTATATAAGTCTGATTGGTAGTTAGACTAATAGTGAACATCAAAGTGTAAGAAAAATATTTTTTTCTTCCTTGAAAACTCATTTCACTAAGTTTTTATTGAAAGAAAACGTGTTTTATAACGTTCAACCAAGCATTGTTTTAAATATTGAACAATTCGAAAAGATTTAGTAAAGACTGATGCTAGTATAATGTGTACGACAACTTTGTTTGTTTATTTGTGAAGAAAAGAATCTCGAGTTATATATAATTTGAATAATTATTGGTATGAATTCATATTTGGACTACTTGATAGTGACTGATGATACTGTGTACAATACTATTAAATATGAATTTAGTTCGTACTTTGTTACGGTAAGCGTGACTTATTAATAAAAAGAATATTCGATTTACAAAAGAAGATTCTTTGCATTTAGTGATACTTTTGGATAAAAGGATGACGAATTTACATATACAAAAATCTATCAAATAAAAAAAACAATTCAAAAAATTTATTTTTAAATTTCTTAAAATTTATATCTAAGAGATTCAACTTGTTTAAATATTAAATACAATTTAAATTAATTAAAATCGTTTCAATTGGGTATTTAAATTTAAATTTAAACAAGTTCAAATAAAAAATATACCAAGAGGAGGTCAAACTCGTTATTGGGTATAGGCACCAAGGAAATGATAATTTTTAATTTAATGGTTTGGGATACTGAAAATCTAATTTAGTAAGTTTACGGAAGACTCTGAAAGACTATAGAATAAGCACTTATATCATTAGATTATTTTAGTTGAACGGTTTGTACACATGTCTTCTACTCTTATGTTCTCGTGTTCGAATCTATGTGTTGGCTTTATCAAAATTGATCTAAGTTATAGCTCTAAAGGTGTATGAAAAATGTAAGCGAGTAAATTAATTGTATCTGCAACTCAAAGTGTATGAAGTACTTGACGGTTTTCATTTTTTTCCATCTAGAATATACGACACCACAATTAGAGAAACGCTACGAAACGTTTTTAGAAAAACGATCGTTTCACAGCGTTCGTATTAGCAGATGTGAAATGCGTTAAACCGGTCAGCATTAACGCGTTTCGCAACTATGGAAAAATGCGTTTTGAGAACGCGTTTTTTTCGCAGAAATTTACGCCATGGGATCCATTTGAAATCAAAACTAATGAAATCAACATCATAGTTGAGTCTAAAATGAACAAGAGACATC